CTTCGAAGGTTATCGATATAAATTTACTACGAAAATGATAATATTCGCAAAATTTTGCCACGTGAAAATATCAAAATTGATAACTTTCGAAGGTTAGCGAAGACCTTCGAAGGATAACATATCGAAAAATAGCAAAATACTTACGTTAACATTAACTTTCGAAGGTTTTCACTAGAAAAAATTTCCTGATGATGTATAGTATGAACATATACATTATTTTTATACCTATAAAATACTTGATAGGTATGGTATTTATAAATTTTTAATTAGTAATATTTTTTTATTTCTATATATAAATTAGATTTTGTATAAAGTTTAAAAAGATAAATATATCAAAAATTCAAAATCAATTTTGAAAATATATATAATTTAGTCACATTTAATATTAAGTCAAAATTTAGTCAGGAGAAAATTAATTAAGTATTGTCTTTTCTATACTTACATATAAAATTATTTTAGAGTTTTGAATTATAATTGGATATTTTTTTAACTTATATATATAATATAAATTCTGAGTAAATTTCAAAAAGACAAAATATTTCAAAAATTAAAAATCAATTTTGAAAATATATATAATCTTTTTTATAAATTTAACTATTTTTTAAATAATATTTTAGTCAATTATAATTTATTTTTTTTATATCACATTTATAATAAGTCAGATTTCTTTTATATTATAGTATTTGAATATATATATATTTGAAAAAATCTATTTATAGAAAAAAAATTTTCTCAAATTTTTTTGTTTATGTAAATAATTTTAATCAATAAAAATTCAAAAAAATATATTCCTGTATTTATATAAAATTATAAATTTCATTTTTTATTATTAAACTTCTGTTAATGGTATTTTAAAAATTATAATAGTTAATAATTTTTAATAATTTCTCAAATTTGATAGATATAATTAAATACAGAAACTTCAACTCTTTTAAAGTTGATTAATTTAAATTAAATTAAAATTTTAACTGAATTTTAAAAGTTTAGATTTTAAACTATCAATTTCTATAGTTAAAATTTTATTTCTAAATATAATAAATAAAATTTTAATATAAAAGATTGAACAATTTTTAATTAAATTTTTATTATAGAGGTTTCACACTGTAACTTGTATATTTATGTGACTAGTAATAATCACCAGTGTTAACAAGTATATTTTTTATAAATTAATAATATAATTGAAAAATTTTTTTGAAAAATTTTGCTTTTTAAAATTTTCTAATATTAGTTCTATATTATTTTTCACTTGATAATTATTTAGTAATATTATTTGAGAAGTTATAGTAAAATATATTTTAGTTCAAATATGTAAAAATAATTAGTAATAAGTTAAATATAAAAAATTTTTTTTATTAATAAAATATTAAAAAAGATTTTTCAAAATTGAATATCTTAGAATCTGAAATTCATGATATAATAATTTCTAGGAATTTTAATTATACTTTTATAAAGTTATTCATACTTATTATAATTTAAAAAATAAAATAAATAAATATGTAACAATGCATAACCAAATATCTTTTTGGTTTCTGGAATATCCAAAGCATTCAATACTTGAATACTTTTAAATTTTTTTGAAAATATGAGTAATAAATTGTTTTCATATCATTGCTGTCAAATTCAGGTTTTCTTTTTTCTAGAGAAATGATCTTTATTTCCTATAATTTCATACACTCATACATATAATAAACAGGTTCTTTATGATTCTTTATCCAGTAATTCTTTCATATGTAAATAATATGTAAATAATGCAACATTACACTGTATTACACTCTTCAAAATGCAGTACCACAGGCTCCGAGTATAGTTGGTAGTGTCCGAGTGTAATTATATAATGCATATATACATATACTAAGAAATTTGAACGGTAAAGATAGTAACAACCCCTTAAATTTTTTTTTTTTTACACTGCAAATGATACACAATGGCACAGGTGACTCAGATGATCTGGATGCACAAACAGGAGACTAGATCGTCCTTTCGACATGAAGAAATTGCAGAAATTGTAGAAATTGTCGAAAATTTTTTACATTCCCTTTGGGATTTTTATTTTTTATTTTATTTTATTGTTTAATTAATATATCGATTCTAGATATCAATTTTTGGAATAAAATATTTTACATTTAATTTTTACAACAAAATGGTCCAAAAACATCTACCAAGGCAAGAACAAACTATCTATTCCCCTTATTATTATCCTAATTTTTCGCGCTACAATTATCCCGCAAAAATTGGCGGTGATGAGGAAATATACACTGAACCTAAATTTACTTTTCCACACTGGGATGACGAGGTTTCCGGTTATGCTCCACCAAACCGTCGCCTTCGTCGAAGAGCATCATCTCCTGAGTTTTATGAAGACCTAGAAGAATATTTTATAAAATCTTTACATACATCACAAAAAACAAATAACTCAGAAACCGAGCAAGAAGTCAAGCAAGAAGTTGAACAAGAAGTTGAACAAGATGAAGGTGAATCAAATTGTGAGAAAATTCAAGTAGATATCGAACTGGCACGTCGTGATCAAAAAACTGATTACGATCAATTTCGCAAAGTTTATGCAAATTTGGACGATGATATTCGTGCTTTACAACGTGAAATCGAAGAATTTGAGGCCGCTTGTATGGCCAGAGGTTGGGGTTTAACATCCGATAATGAAGATTGCGTTCGAAATTCAGAGCTGACAACTGAAACTGTGTCAGGTTCTCTTATGGCAGCTGTAGTATCAGATAACTCTGGCCGTCCTTTAGCAGTCCCTTCCGCAACCGCGGCTGCTGCGGAACGGAGGCCACCAACGAGAAATAATAAAAATAGAATTAATCGTTCTGTCAGTTTTAGTGGTGGCAGCACAAATGGAAATGGTTCAAGGTGTCTGGGCTTAGAAGATGGTTGGACACAAGAAAGAGTACATCATCAAAATGAATGGATTCGATGTTGACTGGATAGATAATATTATTTTATAATATTTTTCGAAATTTAATTCTTATTTGAAATTGAATGAAGAGGTCAAAATTGTTAACCAACAATAGATTTGTCTTGTGTTAACCATACCTACATATATAATTAGATATATTATTTTATACTTTCCTTTCTTTCATTTATTCCCTGTACATATAACACTCTTTTTATTTTCTTTATTTTCTTTCTAAAAAAATTTTTTTTTTCGTATATAAATTTGTTGCCCAGAGATTTCGTACATATATAACATTTATTTCTTAAAAATATTCGCACATACAATAATTCTTAAGGGTTTTTTTTTTTTTACAATTTGGTTTCATTTGCATGATTCTTGCAGTAAAATTATTTGTAAATAAATTTTTTTTTTTTGGGGTTAAAAATACAAACCATTCTAAAGATGACAAATTATTTTTCACTTATAATTAATTAATTATCAATTCAATTATATCATATTCATGAATTGATAATTTATTGCAAAATTTGTTCTATTTCTTGCACATACATTACTGATGATTCGGAAATCCCAAAGTAAATAAAGAGAGAGAGAGATAAGTTGTAAATTTCGAGAATATATAGATAGAGATATATACAAATATATATAATTAATAAATATAAGGTTCCAATAATGCTTAAAATTAACAGTAGCCTGGTTTGAACTCTTTATAATAAAACAATATTCAGAACTTTTTAATTTAATAGTAAAATTTTATTCCGAAAAAAAAAAAAAAAAAAAAAAAAAAACTTTGAATAATGATATAATGATAATAATGATTATTTTGGTAATAAAAGGTAAAAGATGGTAGATTTAAAGTTGAACAAAATTATTTATATAATAAAATTATATAAATAATTAATAAATTAGAAACAAAGCTGACAAAGTTTCACTTTTAGCTATTTTTATCAAAACTCAACTCTGTTCTTTATATCTTTTTTTGTACAGTAAAAGAACAATAAGAATGGTAGAAACTCGAAGTAGCAAACTTAAAAATCAAGTCCAAAATGAAACTGTTATTCCCGTCAAAAGTTCTCATAAACGTGTTGTTAATGAAATAACATTAACGCCGACAAAACGTATTCGAACAGGAGATACTGTGACAAATAAAGAAATGTCATTTAGAGATAAATTCAACCTTGAAAATAATGAATCAGCACTTGCTAATATTCATTCTTATCTATTATCAAAAGCTTCCAAAAAGAATTCTACATTATTAGCAAAATATTTTAGAGTTGAAGAATATGGAATGGGAGATATTATACTGGGTATAAAAGTACCTGAAATTCGTTTTTTGTCAAAAAGGTTGGACTTACTTCCTTTTCCAATTCTGAGAGGTCTTATAAAATCAAAATATCATGAAGAAAGACTATTGGCAATTATTAATGTTGTGGAAAAATACAAAACATCACAAGATTCTAAAATTCGGGAAAACATATTTAATTTTTTTGTTGAAGAAATGATAAGTGGTGTCGATAATTGGGATTTAGTGGATACATCAGCAAGCCAAATAGTAGGTGCATATTTAAGAGACAAGCCTGATCTTAAGAGATTTTGGCTTTTTGAAAAATTTGTGAAATCGAATCGACTCTGGGATAGAAGAATTGCAATCATTTCAACACAATATTTCATTAAATACGGAGAATATGATGATACTCTTGAATTAGCTGGAATCCTTCTCCGTGATAAAGAAGATCTGATCCACAAAGCCACCGGATGGACTTTACGAGAAATGGGCAAGGTATTCATAGTATTATATATTATTATTTAATATCATATTATTATCAAGTTATTAAAATTATTAAAATTATTAAATTATTAGTTTATTTATTGATATATCGTGATTAATCTGTCTGTTTTTTTTTTAATAGAAATCAAATGAAACACTCATCAAATTTTTAGATCAACACGCGAAAGATATGCCAAGGGTGATGCTTCGATATAGTATTGAGAAATTATCGGTACAAGAACGCAAGAAATATATGAAATTAGATAAAAAATAGAAGATGCTAACTTTTTTTTTTTTTTTTAAAAAAAAAATTTATATATTTCAAAAGATACAATATTGTATTTAAATCTTTCATAGCTTTATACAAATATTAAAAATTATAAAATTATATTACGTGTATGCTTTACATGTATTAATTTCATTCTTACAACTTACTTTTGCTTCGTTCTTTTATTTTTACGAGTTGATTTTTGTTGTTTTCCATTATCGATTTTCGCGATCTCCTTGGATGATGATGATTCAATTGTTTCTAGACTCTTTGTGATAGAAAGAAAGAAAGAAAGAAAGAAACAAAATGAATTTAAGTTTTGAATCATTTAAATGAAGAAATACTTTAAATTAGTAACAAACCTCTCCACGTTTTTTTCGGCGTATGTTAGAAATTTGAGACTGTACGTTTTCAAGTTCTTGTTGTAGGCGACGAAGTTCCTCGTGTTTAGATTCTAAAACTACATTTAAAAGTATATTTATAAATTGTCAATAAAATAATAAATATTCTTTTTTTTTATGTTTAATATTTACCTGATTGTGGCTTAAGAAAGAATTAATAATGAAATAAGTTATAAATAAAATAAATTAATCTAATTATATAAATTATATATATATATATTTGAATAATAAATATTTACATCTTCAGGTCTAGGTAATTCAATTTTGGACCATTCTTCTTCTGTTATTTCATATCTTTATAAATTATTAATTTTTTTTTTTGTTAATTAATTAGTCAATTTGTTGAAATAATAATGGTTTAAAAATGAGAAAACTTTAAATGATCAAGTGACATACAATTGTTTATTTTGTTGTAGTCTGCGTTTTATTTCTTCTCTCGAAGGTTTTCCTAAAAAGATAAAAAATTATTAATGTAAGAAATATAAGAAATATAAGAAATATATAAGAAATATAAGAATAAAGAATAAAAAATGAAATAAATTAAAAATTATGAAATGTACCTCCGGTATTAACGATACAGTTATTTTTTCGTTTTATATCTGGACCTTGAATCTTTGAATTTTTTTCTCCAATAACCAAGGGATCGATGTGTAAACCTGCGAACTCTTTAACGTTGTTGAACATTTTGAACGATAAAATATTATCAACTTACTTTTAACTTCTGAATGTTTGATATAAAGAGATTTGTATATACCGGCTGTACTTTGTTGTCCAAGCATTCGTTGCAACTGTAGGTTCATTTGTGCATTAGTTTTTCCAGGTAGACACTGTGAATCAATAATTTTTGCCCAATTTCCGATTCCGAATTTCATTAATGCCTTTCGCAAAATGTCACTTTCTTCTCTTGACCAACCTTTGTTCAATAGTGAGTCATAACTTTGTTATAAAGAACTTCCAAAGTTCAAACTAGTATAAAATTTATGAGTTACCGGGAGAAAGTGTACAATTCCAAAGGCTTGCAGAATCATTAGAGCGGAGTACGTTCCTTGGTCCACTAGGCATGCTTTGAGGTTTCTTGGCATCTTCATGTGTTGGGTTCTTCATTTTAAAAAAAAATATCAATGCTAATAAAAGTATGTATATGATGGTATATGATGGTATATTATTATATTAAATTGATATTATATATTCGCGTATTACGTCACATTTATAAAAGTAACCTCTAAAAAATAAACGTGGACATTAATGAATCCCGAAAAGTTTCCGCTTCTCTCTCCCATAGATTTGGAAGGTCTTTCTTATTGTGGCTTTATTACAGTAAAGGTATTTTTTATTTTGTAAATATATTTTTTCATAAAATATAGAATTCAAAATAACAAAATGTTTTTATATCAGGGACAAGAATTATTTTTTCGAATTCAACATGAAAATTCTAATTTGACTTTAAGAAATGTCAAACTTTACGGATGTCCCAATTTGAAAAGGCTCCTACATGGTCATGAAAATGCTCTTCAACAGGTTTTAAAATTATTTTAAAAAATTATTTTATAATTTATTTATAATTATTTATATTAATTATTATATTGAGTAGCGCCTTGAACAATGTACCAATTTTTCAGAATTTTTCTTAGATCTTAAATATTTACTAGTAAGTTATTAAAAAATTTTTAACTAATAATATTTTTTATTATTTAACATAATACATAAGTAAAAAAATAAAATAAAATAAAAATTGGTATCAAAAATATCAAAATAGGAACTTATAATGATTAGTGAAAAACCTGAACCAATGCCAACAGGAAAATATTATTTAAGTTTATTATCAGAACTTAACTCAATTGGATGGGAAAAATTGGAAATACTTGATCCTTCTCTGAGAAATTTAACTTTAAAGCTGAGGTATCTATTTAAAGGTTCATTAAATGTAAAGAAAAAGAAATAATATTTAAAATAAAAATTTAAAATTTTATGATAGTGATTCATCAAGTCGAAAACATATTATTTACATTTCAATTCCAACTTCGTATCCTCATGCCTTACTGAATGCACGCGCAGATATTCCATCTATTTCTATGACAAAGTTTCAGGCAGCTAATCTCAAAGATGTGATAAATTATTATTCAAAGGTAACAAAAACAAATAAAACGGAGTCAAATGATATTAATATAAAAGTATCGTTCTAACGATTCTGATAGGAATTTGGAAATTTCCAAGAAGTTTGGGAAATGCTTGATGATATTGATTTAAACACTTGGGTATTGGAACCTGATAAACCAAAACGAAGTGACTTAATGCGTAGAATAGCTTTGGGAAATCATTGTTCATTAAAAATTGAAATTGATGTAAATTATCCTAGAAAAGAATGTCAATATGAATTGTTTGGTACGGAAAGTTTAATTGCACCTTTACATATAAAGATTGCAAAAAATTGGAATAATTGGTTAGTCTTCCATTTTCATTCATTTTGATTAATTATTCAATTATTCATTAGATTAATTAATTATTCAATTATTCATTAGATTAATTAATTATTCAATTATTAATTTAATTATTAATTTAATTAATTAACAAATAAAAAAATTTATAGGGATACGAATCTTACCGTCAGACGAAATTTTGAGAATATATTGGAAATTACTTTTCCTTCTTTTCAAACGTCATTATCTTCTGACATCAATTTTGACTGTGGAATTTGTTATTCATATCACTTTGAAGGTACTATACCCGATCAATCATGTAACAATAATAAATGTGGACAGTCATTTCATCGAGTGTGTTTATATTCGGTTAGTAATTATTTATTTGATTTATTTTAATTTGATTTATTCAAATATATCTAAAGAAATATTTAAAGAAATATTTAAAGAAATATTTAAAAAATTATTTAAAATAATATTTAAAGAAATATTTAAAAAATTATTTAAAATAATATTTAAAGAAATATTTAAAGAAATATTTAAAGAAAAATATTTAAAGAAAAATATTTAAAGAAATTAATCATTAAATAAATTAAATTAATTAAATAAATTAAATTAATTAAATTAAAATTATTCTAGTGGCTTCAAGCTATCCCGTCAACTAAAAAAAATTTCAATACACTCATTGGAAATTGTCCATATTGTAATGATGTAAGAAGAAATTTCTATCAAATTTTTATATCAATTTTTTATTTATTTATTTAATTATCATTTCTTTATTAATTTGATTAATAAATCGTATTGTTTCAATCATCGTATTTTATTTAAGGTAATATCCACAATTAGAGAACAATGATTAGTACAAATGTTGTGTTGGTCTTTGGGAAATGAATTTAGAATGTCTCATAAAAAATATAAATATAAATACAAATATCTAGACAGTATAAATAAATAAATAAATATTAAATTTATGGTTGATAGAAAAATCTTATATTTATGAAATTTCTTTAAATTTTCTTCAATCAATCTGATTTAATCAAATCTGATTTTAAATCAAACTGATTTAATATTTAATCAATCCGATTTATTTAAAAGTATTCTTCCACTTTCTTTCTCGATCTTTCTCATATTCTTGTTCTTTTCTTTTTTGTTCTTCCCTTTTCTTGGAATATTCTTTAGTCTTTTCCTGATTTTCCCCTATTCTTTGAGTCGTAGGAAAGTCGACTTCCCAGAACCCTGGAGGAGTAAGTGGGCGACTGTATAAAGTTCGATGTCGTGAGACATGTTGCATATGAGCTTCAATAAGTAATTCAGGACTTTGTTCCTGATCGTTATTATCATGGCCGTATCCAAATGTTCTAACAGAATCTGGTAATGGTAATGGACCTGCAACTTTATAGAACTTTTGAAAATGTTGTTGTGTTTCATAAAAAGATTAATTTACAATTCAAAACAAAAAAACTGAATAAAAAGTGAACATCTATCTTCATAGTTCAGTCACTTACTCGATGACAATCACGACAATCTTCACCTTTCCATTTACAACGGTCACTCTTTTTTCTTGATGCTTCTATAATTCTATAGTTAGGTTCGGAGTCACATTTATTCTTATTCTTTTTATTAAATGATGTGTTTGATGTGGCAGGTAATTCCATTTCTTCTATATCATCATCACAAATAATGACTTCTGTAGTGGATTCATCATCATTTCGTGTTTTCAACTGTATTAATGTTAAATCTTCGCTTTCTTTTTCTTTTGAGAATATTTGTTTACATTTTTTGTTATTAACTGATGATGGAAATCTAGATTCTAATTTGTTAACCATATCAACTGATCTTTTTCTATTTGATTTTTGAACAACCTCATCATCGGAATAAAACCAATTGTCATACTTTTCGACATCAATTGGATTTTTAAAATTTGTTCCAATTTGTGAATCATAATTTTTATTTTTCATCTTTTTAATTTTATGGTCCAAACTGAAAGAAACAATATTATTAATATTATTAATTTTATTAATATTATTTCCGTGATCATTATCTGTCTCATTTGTTTTTTCTTCAAAAATTGGAATTTTATTATTATTATTATTATTATTATTATTGTTATTATTATCATCATCATCATCATCATCATCATCACCATCATTATTATTATTAGAATCATATATATCTTTTTCATTAATTTCTTTTGCTCGAACTGAAAAGTCTAAATTTCGGTTACAAATTTGAGCACGATTCTCAAGATCGTTTGATGTTGAGCTTAGTTCATCAAAATCGGAAGAAAATGTTTGGAACGAAATTTGGTTATCGTCATTATTTGTATTTGATGAACATAATGATGTGTTATTGATGTTATTGATGTCGATAATTGAATCATTGTCGTCATCATAAATATTGGTAACTTGCTTTTGTACGTTTGTGATATCAGTGAGAGCACCACATATTTTGGTTTTATTATCAATTTCGGGAGGTTCAGAGTTAATCTCCGTATTTGATCTAGAAGCACCATTCATTATTTCCTTTTCTGTATGTGACTGAATCAATTCAGGTTTTGCCTTTAAAATCCATTTTTTGAAACGTTTCCATTCTACTGATCTTTTCGCATAATGTTCTTTAAAGGCTTGAAATTCTTCCATTTGTTTATCATATTTTGATTTGAGCTCTGAATATTTCACTGTCCATTCAGTCTCTAGATTGACGATTTCCTGTTGATGATTTCTTTATATTTATATTTATATTTATATATTTATAAAATAAAAGAAAATTATAAGAATAATAATTTTTAGGTTATAAAATAAAATATAATTGTATTATAAATTAATTTATACCTTCCCAATTCCAATATAAATTCGGGAACTAAATTACGTGTCAAACCCGAAGAAACATTTTCATATGCAATACTCGTTGATGAAGACAAAAAGCGAAATGCACGCGGATTTTGGTGATGTCTTAAATAATAATTAAAATATATATAATGTATTAAATAATGTGTATGATATAATGTACGATATAATGTATGATATAATGTATGATATAATGTATGATATAATGTATGATAAATATATGAGATATTAATTAAGTATTAATTTAAATATTAAATTAAAAAAATTTAATTTAAGAACATACTCTGTAAAGTTTTCTTGTTTATCAATATGATCAATATCAATATCAATTGATTTTGATATTCTTTCATCTAAATCCATCGAAATTTCACTTTTTTCGCCCGTAGCAGCGTGTCGAATTAAATAGTTATGCTTTAGAGAAAGTAATTCTTTTTCGAGTTTATCAATTTTTTGACGTAAACAAATGTTTTCTTCTTGGGTGGCTCTTGTAGTCTTAACTTGATCCGAGATAGCTTTGATAGAAAGTAATTAGAGTCAAAACAGAAGGTTCCATTTAATAGAAAAAAGCCAGGCAGTAATAAATATAATAAATATATAAATATATTGTACTTTCTAACGCTTGTTCATGCCAGCCAAGAATATTTTGTACTAAGGAAGCAGGTATGTAAGCACCAATAGATGATGGTGTATTTTTCTGCATTATGCATGAAGGAAAGTGTTACGTTATTGAAAAAGGGGACAACAAATAAGAGAAAAAATTTAATGAAAATTGGTTGATCTCGCAGTATCAAGATTTATTCAATTATCCGCAGTAACAAATGATTTACGTAATTAACTTAATTAACTACAATCGGTTAAATAATAAATTGTGGTACCATGCACAAAGGCACAGTAAATGCAAAGTCGCAGCAAAAAGATTCGCAGCAAAAAAAAATTTCGTTATATAAACGCTATTCCTCCTTTTAACAAATTATTTCTAAAAAAAAAAATAAGAATCAAATTCTCGAGAATAAAATAATAAAAATGACTGATTATGCAACAATTTTTCAACCATTCATTGACTTGTTTAATCAAGGACAAGTTCAAGCAGTTTTGTTAGCATGGCTTCCCGCGAAATTCGAATCTTATCTTTCAGGAATTATTGCAGTTGATATGTTTGTTACAACAATTATAGGTTTAATTTCGTTTAATTTCTATTTAATTTCTATTTAATTTCTATTTGATTCTATTGATTTCATAAATAGAAAAATTCAAATTCTGATAATTATTAATAAATTTTACGCGTCTCGTTTAAACTTCTTTATTTAGCCTCAGGAATAACGGTCGTATTTGCTGCATTGTTCACTTTTTCTCAATCAATTCTTACCGGAACTTCTTGGAGTCAAAATTTAGTAACAGTACAAATAGAATATTATGTTACTGGAATTTATGGTAATTAAAATTTTTTTAAATTTTTTTTTTTTGAAAAAAATTTTATTAAAATTAAATAATATAATATTTCATGAAAATTTGTAGGGGATCAATATACATCGTTATTTTATGAAGCTTTATCGTGGTTAATTTCACAACAAACTAAAAAATTGGATAAAGGCGCATTCATAGTTCAGCCAACTAATTCCGTAGGCACTTCTGATGAAGAAGATTGTTCACCTCCGAGTTTCAACATTCTTCCAGAAAAAAGTCAGCAAATTACCATTGAATTTAATAATAGGTAAAATTTATTATTAATTTATCATTAATTTATTATTAATTTAATTTGGATTTAATTTTTATGAATAATTTATGGATAATTTAATTATTTTAGAAAATTTCATGTAGAATTTAATATGCCTGAAGGAGAGAAAACCAATACCTCAGAAAATAATAATAATTCATCCAATGGAACAAAACAAATGCCATCTATTTATTTGAGTACCACCAAAGATTTCAAAACAAATGTGGATTCCATATCCGAATTTCTAAATGAAGTCACGCGCACATATTTGGAGACACAGAAAAAACAAAAAACGCGTTCGCGATATGAACGAAATGATGGTTATTGGTATAAAATCCAATCATTATCATCTAACCGTGGTTTAGATTCAGTAGCACTTGATGAACCGCAAGAAAAATTGTTAGAAAAAGAAATTAATACATTCATAAATGACAAGGAATTTTGTGAGTAAATAACAAAAAGTTCAATAAGGGTATTGCTAAAGCTCACCGGTGGTGATTGTCACCGCCGGGCAAAATTACATTATTCCCTGATCAACCCTAACTTTGCCCACGTAATTTTTAATTTTGCCCAGTGATAACAATCACCACCAGTGAGCTTTAGCAATTTTCAAAATATAAAATATAAAAATATAAAATATAATATATATATAATGAATGAATATATTATCTAAACTTATATTATTATTTTTTATATTATTAGATCAAAGAATTGGTATGCCGTATAAGAGAGGGATTCTTTTATATGGTAAACCGGGGACTGGAAAAACAAGTCTCATTAACGCAATTACTTCACATTTATCACGAGATTTATATTATTTGAATTTGAAAAATATAACTGGTAAATAATTTGGAATAATTTTTTTATACTTTTTTTTTTTTTTTTTTTTGAAATTTCATTCGTTTCGTTCCGTTCATATAATAACATTCATTTATTTATAGACGATAATGAATTGAGTGCAGCATTTTCATCAATTCCGGCAAACCAAATATTAATACTTGAAGATGTTGACACTCAATCAAAAGTCTTACACAAAAGGAAAGGAAGTTCATCAGATTTTAATTATAACAATTCTTCGGAAAATAAAGTTGCTGGACCATCAAATAAAGGAGGTTCAGAAAGTTTTTCAAAATTCAGTTTATCAACATTTTTATCTTGTTGCGATGGTCACATATTAGCAGAAGGAATTATAATAATTATGACGACTAATCATATTGAATTATTGGATCCTGGTATGATTTAAGATATTTAACAATTCTTTTTTCATCATCATCATCATCATTATTATTATTTACTAAACTTCTTTTACAAAAAAAAATTTCACAATAATATAATAATATAATAATATAATAATAGCATGGTAAATATTTTATTAATATTAATATCTTTTATTTAAAGATTACATTTTTTTTTTGATATTATTAATTAATTAATTGTTTATTTATTTTATTTTATAGTATTCGTCCAGGAAGGTTTGATCTTCATCTTGATCTTGGTTATGCGACACATTATCAAATTGCCAAAATGTATAATAGTGTAATAGAAGATCCAAAAGCACAATTTCCATCTGAAATAATGTCAAAGATTCCTGAACACCTTCTCCCACCTTGTGAAAGTATGTATTAATTATAAATTAATAAATAAGATAAATTAATAAAACAATAAATCAAATAAATTATTAATTATTCTATTATTATAATTAATTTAGTTATGATGACTATGGTATTGTATCGTAATGAAAAACAAATAATACCACAAAAGATTTTAGAATTAGTTAAAAAATATGAACACATGAGTCCCGAAGAGATTGCAAAAAAGATGGAAGAAGAAGCCCTCAGAATTAAAGATGTTCCTGAAATTATTTCTTCAGTTAATGAGAAGGAAACAGATAAAATAGAAAGTATTTTAAATTCTAATTCATTTTCAGATGTTAAAATAGAAGAAAATGATTCAAAAAATGTAAACAATAAAATAAATGATGATGACACAGGTAGTAACACTGATGTAGATCCAATATAAATTAATAATAATAAAAAAAAAGAGTATTTTTCATCATTAAAAAAAAAATTTGTTATTTCTTCAAAGAAATTGTATTATATTGATTTACTGTTTAATTAATTTTAATTTTTTTAATTAATATTATTTATAATATTTATAATTATTTATCAATTTTCCAATAAAAATTTGTTGAATCTGTAGTTTTGACTTATTGATCTTTAATGTCTTTAATGTTAGATGAATTTATTTTTTTTTATTCTTTTAATAATTGATTATAAATGAAAATAACCAAATAAATATATTATTTATATATTCTTAAATTCGAGATGGATACAACATCTTTTTAATGTAAAGAAATATAAAAAATACATAAGTTTTAATTAAAATCTCAATTTCATTTTTTTTTAAAAAAAAAAGAAATTGTTCTACTTACAATTCGGACACTTGCTCCAAAACTTTTTGGTGGAAGATTTTTTCGGAATCTTGCTTTTACAACACCTCCGTTACCATGTGACCTGAGAAATTTATATTTAAATTAAATTTAAATTAAGTAAAAGAAAAAAATACATGAATTAAATATATAAAATACCTAGTTATCCGACCCCAAATGACGCGAATTTTACTCCCATTTTTCTTTTCATTAAATTAAATTAAAATGATTAAAAATTATTAAAAATTATTAAAAATGATTAATTAAAATAATAAAATGATTAATACCTCACGCTTTGCACGATACACATAAGCAACTCTTTTACCTAAGTAAAACTGTGTATCTTTACTACTCGCGACACCCTCAACTTTAATTAAGGTTGTATTAGGTGATTGATTACGTTTAGAGCGTTTATATCCAAGAACACGACCTTTGGAATAAAGTCTACATGATTAATTTAATTTCACAATAAATCAATAAATCTTTGATATAAAATTATGAATAATCATCATAACTATATTACTGAATAATTTATATATTCCACTAATCTTTATAATCTTTATATCCAGCTTCTAAAAGAAGATAACTTACCGAACTGGTTGACCTTGACCAGTCATTATGAAATATAAAATAAAAAAAGAAGGATATCATTAATCTCAGATTTTCTCAACTTTTATTCAATCCAATCAAAAAATTAACGGTCATGTGAAATGAAATAAATGGGTCCCTAGATCCCTGGTCTAGGTATCTTGGTCTTTAATTAAAATTTCGTGTAACGATAGGCGACAAAAAAAAATCCAATATTACATATTAACTTTACACACTTATTATTTCGTATAAAGAGAGAAGAAAAAAATAATTTTATGTAGGTAATTACTCGGGATAAAAATGACCCAAACAATTTTTTTTTATTTCATTTTTTATTTTCAATTACGGTTTTAATTAGTTTGAGGACACATTATTTTATAATATATTACCACCTAAAGATTATAAATTCTTTCTATAAATTACATTTTTAATAATAATTATATTATCAATTCATTAATAAAATATAATTCAGATAATTATCTTTGATCTTGGTTTCTTTAAAACAATGAAAGAATTACATAATCAGTCAAATTATGTCAGTAGTATTATCGTCAACTTTATTCGGAAGACCCACTTCCATTAACATAAAGTTTTGAATATGCTCCCATTTGACAATTTACTTGAGAATTTCGCAGATCGTTAAAGAAATTTGTCTGTGGAAAGCAGGAATAATAAACGTACGCCAATTCTGTTATACTGCGAATACTCCAAGGCACCATTAATGTTAGCTACGTGAGAATTATTCATTGTGGCTGATGCATTATGCCAATTTTTGGCACAAGGTAGCTTGCGTTTTCTAGTTACTTTCTAATTACTTTCTAGTTACTTTCTAGTTGCTTTCCAAGTTGCTTTCCAGTTTCTTTCTAGTGATTTTGTGAAAAAGTCGTCTTACAAAATATAGCATGGAGAGAATGATTGACAATTAATTAATATTGGGTAAAGCTTTGAGAATGATACCCCGATTGTGATCGAATTTCAAAATCTTGACTTAAGATAGTATCATCTCCTTGACTTTTGTAATCATCCAAAAATCCAATTGAACTGTCTTGTGACATAAGTGATCCATGACCTAATGATGAATTTTCCATCATCCGAATACGATCTGACTGTGAAAGTGCAAGGCTCATTGATCCTTGACTACTATAAGCATTTTGTGTAAGAAGTCCTTGTGATGAAACTGAATTAGAATATCCACTATATGATGAATTTTGTTGTTTTGCATTTTTACGACTTGAAATACTATTTTGTGATAAATCTTGAGTGAATGGTCCATTAGGAGTAGGGAGTAAAGGAATGCTAAATTGGGATGAAGGTGGAATTGATGACATATCTGAAGGAATGTAACCAACAGGATCATGAGTTCTCATAAAATCTGAATCATAAGAACGGGTACCACGACGATCTAAGATTAATGTAATATTAGGTTAATATATTAGTATTTAAATTTAAATTTAAATTTGAATAAAAAAATAAAAATAAATAAAATAAAAAAATAAAAAAATAAAAAAAAAATAAAAACTAAAAAAATAAAAAATAAAAAATTTATAAATTTGATTTTTGCTTACTTTCACTAGCTAGCGGAGGTTTTGCCAAAGCTTCGCGCGCATCGATTTGATGAGCTAATCCTTGTCTAAATTTATCGTCTTTATGATAAGCTCTACGAGGACGACTAAATTGTATCATACTAACTTTCAGATTATTTAAAGGTCCTTCCACCAAACAATCTTTGTCTTTGTAATGGACTAACAAATGATGCCATAGTGGATGCTATTTTTATTTTATTTTATTTTTTTTTTTTGGAAAGAATATTAATAATACATTTATACAAATCATATTTATAAAGTTATTTACAAAATAAAGTGAAGTTTAAATATATAATCTTCAAACCTTGCTCAAAACTTTTGGATTTCCTAATATAACAACCCCATAACGAGCTCGAGTTAACGCAACATTTAAACGACGAGGATCATTCAAAAACCCAATTCCTTGGTGCTCATTACTTCGAACACAACTCAGAATAATGTAATCTTTTTCACGACCTTGAAACGCATCAACACTTGCCACTTCGATTTCTTTATATAAATCTTTACGTAATGATCCATTAAATTGCATATAACTTACAACATAACTTCGTTGACCTTCATATGGTGTAATAATTCCGATTTGGGCAGGTAAAATTCCTGATTTTAAAAACTTAGTCACAACCTTTTCACAATTTGAAGCTTCTGTGCTAAAAAAATAAAATAAAATAAAATAAATAAATAAAAAATAAAATAAAAAAATAAAAAAATAAGAAAAAAAAAACAAAGTCAATATTACAATATAAAGGAGATTTTGTTTTATTGTTAATAATTAATTTATGATACTAACCGATTCAAGTAAGAAGTCCCGCTGCTCGAAATTTCTTCTTGTCCCAAGTTTGAAAGGAAAAACATAGGAGTTTCTGGCGCAGGCCACGGAAAATCAACATTTTTACGCAAGCGTTCTTGAGTTGTAACACCATTCTGCAGCGATCCCTCATAGAACATATTACTGGGAAATTCAGATAAACATGGATGCATGCGATATTGAACTTGTAATCGTATAGGTCGAATTCCTAAAATGACTAGTCGTTCGAAAAGTGATTGACATAATCCTGCACGAGCAGCTTTTTTGTTCATAATTACGGGACCAAGTTGCTGATGATCGCCTACAAGAACAGCTTGTTTACAACCAAGTACAAGGGGTATCATGCATTCAGGTTCTGTCGCTTGTGTGGCTTCATCAATCAAGACAGTACGAAACTTGAATTTTGATAAACGCGGATCTCCAGCTCCAACACATGTACATAATATAACGTCGGCATTCTGAAATAGTAATCATAAAATTTTTAGAAAATTTATCAAAGGTGGTTTTTTTTTTGTATTATAAGAAATTAATTCCGTACCTGTAAAATTTCTCTTTCACAAGCTCGTTTCAACATCTTATATTTCTTTTCATCAGCACTACTTAATTCACCTTGTTCAGTCTTCAGTTGAATAAGTTTTTGTAATTCGACATTAGTATCATTATTTTGTACTTGTTCATGTAAAGTTAGAAATAAAACCGGTGAATCTAGTGCTTCACGAGATTTTGCAGTAAGACGAACAACTTTTAATCCAGTGGCGTGAATCTTTTCCGTCAATTGATCAACTGCTACATTGGATGGTGCACAAACTAGTACTTGACCAGGATTCATCTTTGCAAGATGATATACAATTGTTGCCGAAGTTACAGTTTTTCCTGTACCAGGAGGACCTTGGATTAAACTAAGAGGCTTTTGTAAAACACTTTTTACAGCGTAAACTTGTGAATGATTTAATTCTGGTAAATTTGGAGCAGAAAATCTGAATTAAAAATTAAATATAATATAATATAATATAATACAATATAATATAATATAATATAATATAATATAATACAATATAATATAATATAATATAATATAATATAATATAATATTATCATTAGTTAATTATCATTATTTTTTATATGAATCAAATTATAATTAGAAATTAAAAATATGAACCTTTTTGGCATTTGAGTTCTAAGGACCTGGGGTTCTACCTCATGACCTAAAAGTTTATGATAAATATAACCACTCACGGAAGTTTCATCTACAGCAAAGGTTTTCATAGCTGCTTGCATTCTATCAAAACTAGTTGATTTCCACACAAAATCTACAGAAAAATTATGTGTACACTCTACTGGTGTGTTGTCATTTCGACGCAATTCTAAACCGACTTCATCACTGACATCTAAATAAATAAAAGAAAAAAAAATGATGATTTAAATATTTATACAAAATAAAGAAATATGAGAATATCAGAACATAAATATTGATGATTGCTTACTATTGGGTATTTTTATTACGTGACCAACACATTCCCAAGACTGATGTAATTCGCCCCTATATCGTAATCTCAGCTCATCACCGACAGCTAAGCGTACCTCTATTGAATGTTAATAATGTTAATAATGGTGAATTCAATTTAAAAATATATATCTTTCATCCCACGTATCAATTTTTTGTGATAAATGATAATTCATACTAAAAATGCATACCTCCAGACTCAAGTTTTGGTAAATAAAACCACGCAACACGTTTTTGATTTAATCCTATATCCCAACGAACCACAATGTCATCTTGTGTTTGGGACTCCTTTAACTTTTTATCATAATCAGCCTCCATTTTAACCAATGGACCGAAAATATTCTGATATTGGTATGCATCTTCATACCTACAAAAATTTTGATAATTAAAAAATCAATTAAATATAATAATATCAATAAAAAATAATAATAATAAATAATAATAAATAATATTAAACAAATAAATAATAATAATTAATAATAATTAAAAATAAATAAATAAATAACTAATAATAATAATAATTAATAATAATAAAATGAAATTCACCTCAACAGAACAGGTTGAGGTTCATCATCAATTCCAGGTTTTTCTAAATCTTCAAGTGTTGCCTTTGTATTATCTTTCCATAACTCCTCAAGTTTATTGATTTGATGTGCAGTAATTTGTCGTGCACGAAGTTGTTCTTGCTCACTAGGAACTTTCACAATCCATGGTAGAAAACATCGATCATCTATAAGGGGAAGCCATTGTGAAGTATCCCAATTCATGTCTTTGCTACTTGGCATGGCTGCACATGGTTGTCTGTTTAACAAGAATGAATTAATAAATAACAGCAGATTCAGTCTTTGAATCTTTTGCGATCTTTTATTCATTACGTTAAATGACAACACAAAGCGAACCTGCAAAGTAAAACTACCACTGTATCACTTTTTGCGGGAATAAATCCAAGCAAGAAAACATTTCTGCAACCACAGTTATAACATTCAAGTGTTGTTTCTCCTAGTGGAGAATCAGGATGCAAAGCAACTTCCTTGTGTTTAGCACGCACGAGATGGTTTATAACATGAGAACCCGATGTATTACCCCGGGAGTTACAAAACCATTTGTTGCAAATTACACATCTAGCAACCGAATTAACTGCGTGTATTCCACAATATCTTAATAACAATAACAATAACAATAATAATAATAATAATAATAATAATAAGTAGATAAATAAATGTTAAAAAGTTAAAAGCTAAATTCAATAGAGGTAAAAAAAAATAATAATAATAATGAAATACCTGCAGGCATGTTCGGGTAATTCTTTTTCTACAATGGCCAAATCTTGAAACGGATCTATTTCGTCACCTCCAACGCCCGTCAAATCGGGCTCGACAAAATGGGATTGCGATCCTTCAATTAAATTATTATTATGTTGTGAATTCAATGTTGAATCAATTGAAAAATCGTTATAGTCATATTGAGATGCCTGCGTATCACCACCCGAATATTCAAGAAAAGAAAAATTTTCTTCATCTTGAGTATTTTGGGTGCTAAATCGCCGCATTCTTATTAATTTTATAAATTTTATTAATTATATAAATTCTAATGTTGAATACCAAAAAAAAAAAAAAAAAAAAAACCTAGACGAACGTTCCATACTGTGCCCCCCGCTATTTATAAATTTTGAACAAATGAACAATTAATTAATCACGTGAAACGATAATCTATAAATATTGAAATATTTTTCATTCATTCATTTACAAATAAATGGCTGAACTCGTCGAGACACAAGTGGATCAAATGGATAGTGGTGAAATGACTAGCAAGGATTATTATTTCGATTCTTATGCCCATTTTGGTAAATATTTGGTTTGCATTAAAATTAAATTCATAATTTCAGTGAATAATAATTAATAATAAATATTTTATATTTTATTTTCACGCTCAGGGATTCATGAGGAAATGCTTAAAGACGAAGTGAGAACACTTTCGTATCGTAATTCAATTTATCAAAATAAGCATCTTTTCAAAGATAAAATAGTGCTGGATGTTGGTTGTGGAACAGGGATATTGTCTATGTTTGCCGCCAAAGCAGGTGCTAAGCATGTATACGGAGTAAGAATTAAATATAAATATTTTTTATATAATTATAATAAAAATTAAAGTTATCAAAAGTTAATTTGATCTTCGATAATCCAAAATGGGTTTATCATTTAATTTAGATCGACATGTCAAATATCATTGATCAAGCGCGACAAATCATTATTGACAACCATTTAGATCAAAGTAAGGTTTTGTAAATAATTTATATTAATTCACAATTAAATCTTTACCAAATTTTCTTATATATATTATTATTATCAGATATCACATTAATCAAAGGAAAAATGGAAGAAGTTGAACTTCCGGTTGATCAAGTTGATATTATTATTTCAGAATGGATGGGTTATTTTTTACTCTACGAATCTATGTTGGATACTGTTTTGGTTGCGAGGGATAAATATTTGGTAAATTATTGATTGATTAAAATGAATTTGTGTATTAAATGTGAATTATAGATTTTTAATTTAATTCATTCTTATCATATTTATATTTATATATATATGGATATTTACATTTACTTACACATATATATATCTATCTATCTATCAATCTATCTATTTACATGTATTTATATAGAAACCTGGTGGTCTTATATTTCCTGATAAAGCAACTATATATTTGGCTGCCATTGAAGATGGGGAATATAAAGAAGAAAAAATTGGATGTATGTTGACTTATTTTATGAACTTTGATTTGAAATTAATAAATTAAAAATGTAATCTTGATTTATTTAGTTTGGGATAGTGTTTACGGTTTCGATTTCAGCTCAATTAAATCGGTTGCTTTACGAGAACCTTTAGTGGATACTGTTGACAATAAAGCTGTAGTCACGAATCCATGCTCAATTAAGGTGCAGTATATTATATATTATTATATATTAGGAAATATTATTATATTCATTACTATATTATTATATTATCATATATTGTTATATTATTATATTTATACGATGTTTTACATATTTTACTTACAGGAGATCGATATTCTTACTGTTAAGAAATCAGATCTAGCTTTTACTGCACCTTTCAGATTAACAGCTTATCGAGACGACTATATTCATGCATTTATAGCATGGTTTGATATTATTTTCTCTGCGTGTCATAAGCCAATTAAATTTAGTACAGGTTAGTGTATTTTATTTGTTCTTCTTTAATTTATAAATAAATTTTAATAAATAGAATAAATAGAAATAAATTATACATTTTTCATAATTCAGGTCCACAAGTTAAATACACACATTGGAAACAAACCGTATTTTATACGACTGATGCTATTACCATTAAAAAAGGAGAGAATATTGTAGGTACATTATCTTGTGCACCAAACAAAAGGAATAACCGTGACTTAGACATTGAAATATTTTATGAATTTTCTGGTGAAGTGGGTACTAGTTCGGAAACTTGTAGATTTAAAATGTAAATATTTTTATATTCTATTATTTTTATTATTTTTATTATTTTTATTATTTTTATTATTTTTATTATTTATATTATTTTTATTACTTTTATTATTTTTATTATTTTTATTATTTTTATTATTTTTATTATTTTTATTATTTTTATTATTTTTTATTATTAATTTATTATTATTTTTATTATTTTTATTATTTTTATCATTTTTATTATTTTTATTATTTTTACTTTTATTATTTTTATTATTTTTATTATTTTTATTATTTTTATTATTTTTATTATTTTTTATTATTTTTATTATTTGCAAAGGTTATTAACAAATATTTCAATTGTTTCAAATATTTTAAATTATTTTATCATTTGTTACCTAGGAATTAGGTATTAATTAATTAAACACCCTCATTACTTTTCAAGACATCCATAATGCGAATAAAATGCAAGGATTCGAAATTCTTTTAGTATGTTCTTTGTATATTAGGTTTTGTACTTGTAATTTACTTTATTTCAGTCAGTAAAAGTAAATTCTTCCTTTTTTTGTGCATATAAACAAAATAATTTCTGTCTACTGATATTTAATTTCTTCTAAATATTCTAACTAATCAGTGTTTTATATGAGCAAAGGCATTTGCCTGAAAAAAATCAACGGAAAGTTTTTTTTTTTCACTTAGAAAATATTATCGAGATAAAGATACATAAGTAAATTATTAATATCTTGTAGATTTTACTAATTATGGAATCTAGAGATAAGTATTCTTTTTTTTTACGCATTAATTAAAAATGCGTGACTATTAAAAAATATATATATAAAGATATTTAAAAATATTTTAAAAAAAAAACAAATATTTAAAAATATAGATATAAATAATTTTATACTACTGAAATGGGTTAAATAAAATATCAATATTTTAGATGTTAAAGTCTAGAAAGTATTTTTATATATATGTGTGTGTGTGTATGTGGTCGATTGATATTGATGCGAGAATGATTCTCTTTCTTACTTATCTTGATTTCTTTATTTCTTTATATAAAATTTATGTTTCTTTTTCCTTCGTTAAGTTTTTGACCCTTTGCAATGCGTGTTCTGCTTCATTTATACAATCTTCAAAATGAATCCGTTTTGCAAAAAGTTGTGCCTTTTCATAATATTTGATTGCCTTTTCTATATTTCCTGTTAACTATTTTTTTTTTTTTTTTTTAAAAAAAAAAAAAATTGAAATAAATTTTTAAGTTGTATATAGTTAAAGTTCAAATCTGGTGTAAATTTATAATAATAAATTTATAATCAATTTATAATTGTTCATACTTCTGATATCATTCCTAAATTAAATAATAATACTCCTTGACTTTCTTCACATTCTTTAGTGGTTTTCTTTTTAGGTCGGAAATTTTCTGCAAGTTTAAGACCACGTTCTGCCCACCCTTGTGCTTCTTCTAAATTACCCATTCCCGAGAACACTTCTGATATGTTGTTCATTAGAACGGCTGAATGACATGAAGATTCAGGTGGATTGATCAAAGATAATGCACGAAGATAAAGTGGGAGTGCATAACTGTAAATATACCGTCATAACAGGGTGGCCCAGAGTTTAGTACAATTAGTACAAGAGAAACCTATATGTAGTTTTATATTGAGAATACTAATCTTGTAGACTTAAAAGACTTAAAGCAAAGAAAAAAAGAAAAAAGAAAAAAAAGAAAAGAAGAGAAAAAGAAAAAAAAAAAAGTCTCATGTAATATTTCTTTAAAACTTTAATTCGAAATTTCACTTACGAATATTTATGTTGTGAAGAGTAAAAAGATGCTAATGCTTCGAGTGACGCTCCTAAGTCAGTTAATGTCATCCATGATGGAAGTGTTACTACATCATTTCTTCTTGAAAAAATTTCCCATGGAATATCACTTTTATGAAAATTTGATTGAATAATTTCTGCTTGTGATTGAAGTAATTGCTCTACAGACCAAACATAATATTTTTCGGCTTGATCATATTGTTTTAAACTTTTATGTAAATCCCCCAATTTTTGCGCGAGAGCAATTGATCTAATTTTATTTTCTCCTTCCAATTTTACTAATTTTACCGGAATGTTATTAGTATTATTACTAGTGTTATTTGGTGTGACAATGACATCATATGCCATAGTAAAAACATCAATAGCATCACGCGTCCTGTCAAGTTCCTCATAAAGGCCACCTAACTGAATCATTATTCCTGTAACTTCAGGTGATGTATTATCTAATTCTTTATGATTAAACGCTTGAGTTAAAGCTGTTTGATAGAAATTTACTGCACGATTAGGATCATTACGGTAATTCTGATAGAATAATCCTTTCTGAAGATTTTTTCTAATTTCTTCGGGATATTTATAAATTGAAGATGTATAATATTGATAAACCCCGAGACTTATAAAAGCAGAAGTTGTTATTATAAGTACTATAGGAAAAATGGGTATAGAACTTCTTTCATAGTTCTTAAAGATATTATTATTATTATTATTATTATTACTATTATTATTATTATTATTATTATTACTACTACTATTATTATTATTATTATTATTATTATTATTATTATTATTATTATTATTATTATTATTATTATTATCTAAACGATTATTGTTTTCTGATTTAAGTTCCAGTTTAGCAATGGATCCATTTTTTTGTTTAGAAGAATAAATACGGGTTTGAGTGACAGTAAAAAGTTTTATCACCGGTTGACGTTGATAAGCAAAAGTCCGAAAAGGTTTTTGAAAAGCGATAGAACTATGAGTTGTAAAATTGACGAAAGCATTGCGTGAGGAAAAGTTTCTCGAAAAAAGTGTATTCGCCATCAAAAAAAGCTGATGTTCACTTATTTTACTTATTTTACTTGATATGGTAACCTATTATTTGTGCTACTGGGATGATCGTAGCCCATTATTACATATTGTCTACGACAGCATTCATTCTTTAAAGATTGTTTCCCTTCAAATAATTAGATAAATAAAAAATAATAAAATGTAAAATAAACGTTGTCACTTTACTTATAATTTTTAGAGTGATCATTGCCATCAAAAGTTGCGCAAGTTATGATATCTTGAAGATTAAAAAAAAATATATATATATATAATTGGTTAAAAACTAATTATATAAATAAATTAATAAAAGTTAATCATGGTAATAATTGTATTAATATGGTTCATCAACTAAAACTTTGTTAAAAGTAACATGTTTATTAATATATTATTACTATTAATTAAAGTTGTTCTTTAATATTAAAACTAAATGAAAAACATAAAAACATAATAAAACAACTTTATCGTGCAATAGAATATGAAATAAAAATGAGTTGACACAAGTTGGGGGGTTTGAACGATGGGTCAGATGTCGGGACGATGGGTTAGATGGTTGTATAATCGGAACGTTTAAAGCTTCTATTTACATAATAACCTGTCATAAAAATAGGCGAATATATGTAAAAAATTTATAGTGTAGGTAGTTAACATAATAAAGTTTTGAGTTTTATCTTTAAAACGGCCAATCACAATTGAGGATCTAGATCAAATAATATTGGATAAAAAACCCTAAACTATATATGTTCATGAACGTGAAATTTTAAAGAAAAATAATGGCGACGGATAGACGACGAATACAAGGACCAGAAGCCAGTGTAGCTCCGATTATATTAAAATCACCAAATAAAATTCAGTTACTAGATGAAAATTTATGTCGACATAATGGAAGAAATCTTGAAGATATTCGTTCAATTTGTAAGTATTAATCTAAAATATAAAAACAATTGTGATATTTCATAAATATAAAATTTATTATTATTATTATTTTTTTTATTTTTAGATTTAAAAACAGGACTCATAAGTCAAGCTAATGGTTCAGCATTCATAGAATTAAATAAAACAAAAATTGTTTGCGGTGTGTAAGTAGCTTAGCATTAAAGTATTAGTATTATGTCTCTGTAATATTGTTTCTGTAATATAATTTTATCTTAATATCTTATTATAATTTATAGTTATGGACCGCGTCAAACAAAAATTCCGGCTTTCAGTGGAAAGGGAAATTTAAATTGTGAAATCAAATTTGCACCATTCTCGTGTCCCAAACGTAGACCGCCTTATCGTGTAAATTTTATTCATTTCATATTTATTTAAATTTAATATTTTACTGATTTTTGTAAATTTTTAGGATTCACAAGAAAAAGAACTTTCACAACTTATATATGAGGCATTAACACCTTCAATTCGTCTCGATTTATTACCCAAATCAACCATTGATATTTATATTACAATACTTGAAAATGATGGAACTGCATCTTGTTTGGCAGCGGCTATTACTTGTGCATCAGTTGCAGTTGCAGATGCAGGAATTGAAATGTTAGATCTAGTTCCAGCTTGTTCTGCGGTAAGGAAATGAATTAATTTATTATTATTTTTTATTATTTTTATTATTTTTATTATTAATTTATTATTATTTTTATTATTTTATATTATTTTTATATTATTTTTTATTATTTTTATTATTTTTTATATTATTTTTATATTATTTTTTATTATTTTTATTATTTTTAAATATAATTATAAAATCTTCATTGATTTCATTTGGATTTACTTTTATAAACAGTCATATATTAACGGACATATATTTATGGATAGTGATTTGATAGAGGAAAAACGCGAATCTGGATCATTAGTTTTATCTTATATGCCATCATTAAAAGAAATTACTCATATATTGCAATCTGGCGAAGTGGAATTAAATTTAACTTCTCAGGTAAAATTTTTTTATTATTCAATAAATTATAAAATTTTTTAATTTAATAATTTTATAAATTAAATAAAGAAAATTTTGTTATAGGCTATTGAACAATGTACGGATTCATGCTCAAAGATATATTCAATTATGATTGATAGTTTATTATTACCTATTCAGAATATTAAATAATAATTTTTATTGTAAATAAATGTCAAATTTATTTTATTTTTTATTTTATTTTATTTTATTTTATTTTTTTTTTTAAAAAAAAAATAAACAATTGTCTCTATAATTATAATTAAAAAAATTATTATGTTGAATTTTTTAAGCTAATAGCTAAAGCTGCTTTAGATCCGTTTGAACGATTTAGTTGTTGAGAAATGTAATTCCCAATTTTAATTAATTCCGAGAGTTGAATGCCTGTTTCGTATCCCATTCCATGAAGCATATATACTATATCTTCTGTCGCTACATTCCCTGTTGCACCTTTGGCGAATGGACAACCACCTTAAAGAAAAAGTATTTGTGTTTGTGTTAACAAGTTAACAATACAAAGATTAATTTGATTAATTTATAATTATTTGAATCAAATCTTTTACCTAATCCGGCAATGGAACCATCAAAAACTCTTACTCCATACTTTGATGAAAGTAAATTAAAGTAAATTAAAGTAAATTTTATAATTATATTCAAAATATTTCAAAAAAAAAAAAAAAACTTTAATAATGCTTTTCTAGTATACCTCTAAAGAACAATATATATTGGCGAGAGCTTGACCGTATGTATCATGACAATGCAAAGCTATTCGTTCAACTGGTACAACTTCCTTAACATCTTCAATCATTTTAGAAATAGAGCCTTATAAAAATCATATCATAAATTTATATAAAATAATGAATGGATAATTATTTTAATAGATTGAATAGAAATATTTTATTTATATTATTCAAATTATGTGGATTGTTAACGAACCAGGAGTACCAACACCAATTGTATCGGCTAATGATATCTCATAACATCCCATCTTATATAATTTTTCCGCAATTGTAGCAACTTTGGCTGATGAAATTGTTCCTTCATAAGGACATCCAACAACACAAGATATGTATCTATATAAAAATAAATAAATTAAATTTTTAGTTCGTTTTATCTTAAAAGAAATGAATATCATAAATAAAATATACCCTCTAACCGCAATTCCATGTGAATTGGCTATATCTGCAACATCCTGAAATCGATGTAAACTTTCGGGTATTGAACAATTAATATTCTTTTTACTAAATTCTTCGGATGCTGAAGCAAATATTGCTATATCTTTAACATCTGCCTTTATTGCACGTTCTAAATTTTTCAGATTGGGTACCAAAACTGGATATTCAACACCTGGCTCACGATTGATTTTTGTCATCACTTCAATTCCATCTGCCATCTGCAAAAAAAAAAAATTCTTATTCTACTTTATTTATCTTATAATAAAATGTCCTTGGGAATCAATTTTGTCATAATACCTGTGGTACAAGTTTAGTGTTCACAATCGATGTTGTTTCAATCACCTTTAGACCTGTCTTTGATAATTTATTAATGAAATTAATTTTTATATCTGTAGGTATGAACTTTTTTTCGTTCTGCAGTCCATCTCGAGGACCAACTTCTACGATCTTGACTTTTTTAGATCCAGTATGAGGTCCCCAATTCTATGGGGAGAAATAAAAATTATAAATTTTATAACTTACAACCATTTTTCGTCTTATGATGATAACTGACTCACCTGGCTACGCATTGATGCATAACGAACATTGGTTACTGATTTAAGTGTCCGAGAAACTGATTGAGAGATAGTACGTAAACCAACCATTCTTTTTTAATAGATTCTATTTCTCTTAAATCATCATTTTGAAATAATGTTTTAAAATTATATCTTACGAATCATGATTAATTGAATTTTCGACAAACAAACTCACCCTTTCCAATTTTTAATTGAAATGTGAAGAATCGTTCTGCGTAATTTCAATAATGAACAGTTTTAAATAAAAATTTATATTGCAATAAAAAGATTCAAGTCAAATGTTTAATTTTTAAAACATATATTTATTAAATTTTTATTTTTGCTTATTTTATAATTTACATAATTTTTTTATTGTTAGCTAACAGTATCTTAAATCCTAATCATATAGTGTTGTCACACGATAATGTCGGGCTAAACTATCGTATACGTTGTTCTCCTCGAACTCCGGGCTCGGGTCTAAGTTCGTTTCTACTTCGGCTCGCGAAACGATTGAATCATCAAAATTAAAATATTCATTTAGCTCGCAATCATCGGGTTGAGACATCGACTCAACGGGACGAGGGAGGCGTGGGGGGCGCGGATCTTTTACCACGTTTTCGATAATGAAACAAAAATTCCCGTCTGCGCTATCCGAATAGTCACGTGGTATTGGGTTTTCTTTATGTTTACATTCCGATTTTTCACTCGGATTGTACGAATAAAGAGGTATATCTTTTCTCTGCTTTACAGATCTTCTTTCAGCTTCCCTATTAAACATTCCTTTTATTTCTCTTTTTTCTTCTCTCCACATTTGTCCAAGTTTTTTGTTGATATCCATCTGGGTGAGGTGAGGAAATTTCGTTTGAATTTCGCTCGTTTTTTCTTTCATATAAACGAAGAACGCATTGAGAGGACGAGGAGAACGTGACGATTTCGTTGATTTCGATTTTTTTGTTTTAGCCATCGTTGCAACAACGTGGAAAAGATTTAATACTTTACGAATCCTTTAAATATTTTTTTTTTGCTTATACCCGAAAATATATCATGTTAAAAATAAGTCTTTTAAAATTGATAAATGAAGTCATTAAGAGCCACTCAGTCGAATGCTGAATTATGATTGATCACCTTTTTGGGATTCTTTGTTATATTCTTTTATCAATGCCAGTTTTATGATAATAATAATTTTTAAAATCTCGGAAGAGAAAAAAATACCGAAAATAATTAATTTGCCACATTAAAAATGAATTATATTCGGATCGTACATAATTTGCAAATTAAATTTTGTAGAACGACTAATATGTCTGGTTCCCGTTGGGGGAAACCATAAAATCGTTTTTTCATAAAAATATAATAAAATCATTCATGATAATTTGCCTACAATGGCTGCTAGCCACTTAAAATTTCTGGTTTCATACATATTAGAAATTTGAAGGAGAAATGAAGCACCAATACACATGGCGAATTTTTATAACTATAATAGTGGCTAGAAAATATTCCACAAAGAAAACGCGTAAAATGGTTGAATAGATTAGGTCAAAAAATACCGAGCATTTTTCATTTATATTACGTGAGGTACGATCATGTGTTTTAACTTATTGTGTAAACTTGTGCAACATTTATATGATACCCCAAATGAATATACAAATGATTTTAATGAATCCTCGGAATTGGAAAGATGAATGACTTTCGGGATTTTAAGCCTCTTGAAAATTTCGCACTATATATTTGAAAACACCAATTATTTTCTTTGGAGGAAAATTTGGGGAAACATTTAGTAACATAAACAAATCATATTTGGTCTATTGAATTTTTTATTTAATAAATATTATTGAAACAAATGGAAAAATTTAAAGAGTAAATGAATAGTGTCAACTGATAGTGAATAATTATCTTTTGTTATATATATTTCTAAATGTTTCAACATATATATCTCTTAAAGATATTTTATTAGAATTGGTTTTCACAATAAAAGATTTTTATCAATGCCATGTTTCAAAAAATCTTCGTTAAAAAAAAAATGTATGTGCACTGCTTAACAAACAAATACAAGATATGAAGTTGTTTAATTCTCATTTGATAAAACATTTATTTTTTTATTGTAAAATTTTTTTTAACCTTCTTTGGGAATGGATCAAAGAATACGGGATACAATACTCCGATAGGTAAATAATAAATGGAATATAAATGAATTGTTCATTTATAAAAATTTCCCGATCGTTTTACCACGCGATGATGGATAATCACTAGATTAGTATAAATTGTAAATATAGCATTTGTAAACGTTGTAGCATTGTATGTTATTCTTTGAAAATTCAAACGTTCCTTAAAAAAATCCAAGAATGAGTATGATGCAAATCCACAATGAAGAAAAACAAGTGGAATACAGAAAAGGCCATTTTTCTAATGAGGTAAAAGATTTAATATATAAGGAACATTCTTATTTATGAAAAATTTATCTCAAACTCTTTGATCTCATTCAGGAAGACGAATTAATTAAAAAATATATTAAAGAACATGAGAAGTATAACTGGAACGAAGTTTCTGTATTTGTAGGTACCAGGTCTTCTAAACAATGCAGAGAAAGGTAAATTTTTTCTACAATTTTTCATCTCCGATCACGTTAAATTTATGAAATGATATTTATTCTTGTAATATTCATTCTTTTGAAAAAAGATATTTTGGGCATTTAGATGAATCCGGTCGGTAAAGTCTATAATAATTATAATTATTTATAAAAATTTCGTATTTTCAATTAAAATAATGAATTTTTTCTTAAACATTTTTTAGTCAAAAAAGATCCTTTGACGCCTTCTCAGGTGAAGTTAATTGGCGAATTTATAAAAGAAAATGGTTTCAAATGGGCGAAATTATCCCGGAAATTAAATAGTGGACATACTCCTAATATGCTTAAGAACAAATGGCATCAACAAATTTCAAAGTAATTTATTTAATTATATAATTATTTTTTTTAATTAATAATAATTATTTTAATTACTAATATATTTTTATTATTAAGAAATAGTAATATGTACAAAATGAATCTCAATTATATATGTAATAATAATTTAGTTAAGTCATTCAAACATAAAAAGTTAGCTAAGTCATTCAAACATAAGAAGTTAGCTAAGTCATTCAAAACATAAGAAGTTAGCTAGTATGATTTTTAAAACAAATAACAAAAATTAATTATATGATCTAAAGTATGATTTTTTTAAAATAAATAATAAAATTAATAATATGATTAGTAAATATTTTATTTAGCTACTTTTAGAATCAAGATAAATTTTTCTTTAATTTAGAAATAATTTTATATAAGAAACAAATTATTTGTTAAATTTAACACAAATCATGAATAGATATTATTTTTTCTTTCTGTGAATAAGATGTCTTCACAACAATTTCTTTGTCTTTTTTTCTTTAAGATTTTTCTTTTATGATTTATTCTAAAAATCATCTGATTGTTTGTTGTTGTTATCATGAGAATAAACATTAATAAAGTGCTTCTCCGTAAAGAAAATATAATGTCAAATCAGGTAAATTTTCATTTATTCCGATTTCTTTTAAGAAAATTTATCTGTTGTGAACCATTCTATCATTCTATATGGTATTATGATATGGCGTAAAATTCGAAAATCCGAAAACAAAAATATTTATGAACAATGAAATTCTTGCCTAAATTAATTGTTTTTTAGATAAATCAATTTTTTTGTTTGATGTGAATTTCGACTTCTATTTTCGCAGAAATAACAAAATATTATTTCAATTAAATATTAAAAATCATTGATAAATTCGTTTAAGAATTGGTTCAATTTTTTTAGAAAAATAGAATTAAATATTTTAATAAGTTACAAAAAAAAGAACAAAGGAAAGAATCTATAAATAGTTTTTTAACCTTTAACTATTTACAAAAATTTTACAAAAATTTTACAATGAAAAATAACTAATTTTTTAAATATATTATTTTTAATATATGGAAATATGCTATTTATGATTGTTGTCCTTTGCTATCATCACCTTCTTCACTTGATTTAAGTATATTTTCTCTACTCTTTTTCAATCTTGGGCTTGATTTTTTCCCCATCCTACGCGAACTGCTCATTCTTTCTGGTAAAACATTTTGAACTTCTTGTTTTTCAGATGATTTAGTGGACATAGTGAGTAATTTTGACTCAATTTCACCTGTATCAATACCGACAGTATTTTTTTTCCTTCGACATGGATAACATGTCAATACATTCATTATATATTTAAATATGTAATAGATGATGATTTGATCGCTATTCATGCGCCAAATATCAGCCAACCATTGGACAATGTTTAATAGTGAAGACATTATAATGGCGACTACTGAGATAAAATGAGTGGTCATAACAAAAATCACGGTATCTTTAATTTGAATTGTCACCTCCTCTGTAGAATTAGAAACTGTTATTGTGTTATTGTTGTTTGTGATATTGTCATTATACGAAGACGTGGTGTCTGGAGCTGCAAAAGCTGCTGCGATAACAATTAATATTTGGCTTAAGATACCAATGTATTGCGATGCTTGAGCATCTAAACTATACATAGATTCATGATAACTAGATACGTCGGTTCTAAATAATTGTAAAATTTGAAATGGACCTCCGTAATATAAAGGACCACCAATGAATGATGGAAGTTCCTTTTTGACAATCTTGGAAAATACAAAGATTATTAACGTAATTACAAACATTCCTATTTGTATCGAAGTTGTCATTCCGGAAATTCTTCCTACTGTATCTAATTGACCAAAATTCCAATCTTGAATCAAGAAAGAGCCAAGAAATAAATCAAAGAAAAAACCTGAAATTGTTGTAGAATTTCCAAGAATAGTTAACCAATCCATAAAAAGAGAAGTGTAATAAAGTCCAATAGTAATTATGATGTCTAACATATTAATACTTTGAGTAATTTTAGCAGTATTTTGAGAAATTTCTTCAGGGCTGTCTTTATCAATTTCGCTTAACTTGTCTTCAACTTTCTCTTTCGCGGTATCAAGAACATCAACCGCAACAGAAAACTGAGATGCTTGAGAATCACCTTCATCACCACCACTTGTACCTTCCGTCCCTTCACTACTTGGATTCGAAGGTTCTCCAGTTGGTGAAGACATTTAAAATAAAATTCAAGAGAAACTCAATCACATTCAATTGGCACAAAAAATTCTGAAATTTGACATCTTGATAGATAATCTCACATTAGATAACAAGATTTCTTTTTCTTTCTGTCATTTATTTCACGCGAGGTGATAAATATTTAACGACTAAAATTATTAATGAGCAACGTTAATGAACGATAAAATAATTGTTCACATTTCACATTCGCATCACTTCCCATGATATTATAATATGTTTGAGTAAGCCCCAATTGTATAAAAAAGTCATTTTTTATAAATATAGCTAATTATGCAAAGCCATTGATAAATTTATAACGCAAAGAAAATGCGTAGCCACAAGTTTGACTAATAAAGCTTTAGAATGGCTGCATTTTTTTTTACTCAATTAGAAAATTCCAAAAAAATTTTCATCTATCAAATATCTACGATTAAAATATACAAATACTTACAAATATTTTGTTTTATAAATATTTTGTTCTTGTTCTTGACATAAATGTTTGATCGATCATCAAATAATTTTGTAATTACCCATTATTTTTTAAATAAAGAATAATTCGAAAAAGTTATCCAAATATTGTATTGAAAGAAATAGATATCAAATAAAGTCTCTTACTTGATTAATTTTTAACGTGGCTTATTTTAAATGGCTGGGAAAATTATTAGCGCAATATATGTCTTAAGGATATTCTTTTCTTACCTTAAATTAATATACTGAAAGAACATGAATCCTATTTAAGCCACATTGAAGGAAATTTACATAATACTTCAAATAAGATATTCTTTCAGGGTACACTTTTATATAGTCAGACACTGTACATTATGGACTTTCATTGAAATGCGAACGTTACAATACCGTCTATTAGAGAAATATCAATTGAAACGTACAAAAATGTACAGAAGAATTTATTTAACAGAATTATAAATATTATTTTTGTGAAGACAAAAATATATCAACTTTATTAATATAAAAATACAAATAAATAAGTAAATTATTAAATTAATAAATTAATAAACAAACAAATAAGATAATTATACATATATCCATTAATTGTAATTTTATGATGATAAAAATAATTTAATTTTTGAGAGTAGCATTTAGAATTTTCCAATATTTAGGAATGCCAAAATCTTTGCCTTTTAAAGTTTTAATCATATAACTACCAACAACCGTCCCACCAAAAATTGGTAGAAGCCCTGATCCTTTGGTCTATTAAAAAAGAGATAATTTTAGAATAAATAAGATAAATAATCAAATAATTATTAAAGTGGATTTACCTTTCCAATTGTAACGAGCATTGCTTCAGAAAGAGGTTTATACTCAGTTAGTTTCTTCTTATTAATAAGAGCAATAATATTATTAGCTGCTACATTCGCTTGTAGCCCAGCACGAAAACCAAGTTTTGTTTCTTGAATATTTGTCACATCTCCTATAGCAAAGATATGTTTATATTCATCATGATTTAATTGTAAAGTTGGTTTAACTTTTATTAAATTTGTTCCTTCTTCGACGATAGATTCATTAAGGGTTTTCGCGATTTCTGTATTTGGTTTTGCACCAATAGCTACAAATTGGACATCCGATTCGATTTGCGTACCCTTTTTTATAAATTAAGAATTAAATAAATATGAATTAAATAAATATGAATTAAATAAATATGAATTAAATAAATATATTGTATAAATTGCTACAAACCTTATTCGTTACTAAATTTAATGGAGATAGACCATCTTCAATATTGGAAATATCTATTTTTTCACCAAATATAAGTCTAACGTTTAAGTCTGTTAATTGTTTAACAAGCTGTTTCTTTAATTTCGGTGATGAATCTTCTGCTAACAAACTACTTCCAGAACTAACAAGGATAATTTGTTTATTTTTATAGGTACTGGCAATTTCGCCAGCAAGTTCTATTATAAATGAATATAATTATTATTGTTAACTATAATTATTATCATTATGATTAAAAATCATTATTGTTATAATTCGTTCGTTAGTGACATTTACCAATGCCAACTGGACCTCCTCCGATAATCAGAATATTTTCGGCATTTTTTACGGCATTACGTTGAGCAACGATATGAGTAACAGTTTCATCTTTTTTATTAGAAGCCGTCTTTCCTGGATATGAATAATTGGATCCAGTGGCGATTATCAAATATTCAAATGGAATTTGAGTTCCCAATTCTGTTTCCATGTCAACAATTATCTCTTTCTCGCGGATATTTATTACTGTAGCATGTAAAATTTTGCCTCCAAATTTAAACATGTTATCATAAGGAATTAAAATTTTATTTTCGAATCCATCTTCAACAACGGTTCGTAATCCACCGAATGCATGATAAAAATGAGTTTTGCGTTCGATCAACAATATTTGATGAGTCTTGTGAAGTGCATTTTCAAGTTTTATTGCAGCATTCACTCCACCATATCCACCCCCAACGATAACAATATTTGGTTTGGTCATTATGAAAAAGAAATCGAAATTATAATTTTATAGAAAAAAATTTAAGTTTTTAAAAAATTTAGAATGATAAATTGAATGTGCTTGTTTATTTAAATCAAATGATGAAAGAATCAAAGTCGAGCAGCTTGCTGCTTTTATATAAGATAGAAAACGACTAATGGAAAATATAAATTCCGAACTAAAAAAGAAAATAAACTAAATCGATATTAATAATCTTTCTAATGATTATTAATTACTGACAAAGCGAAAATTTTGAATTAATAACTGCATTTCGAAGTTCCACTCGATTCTTTGAAATTATAAAAGGATTAAAACGGACCGAAATGCCTTTTTAACACTAGACTTTTATCCGAAGTTTGACTTATCATCGGGTAAACTTAAAGGATTATCCGGATCGTGTCGCCAAAATCGACACAAATTCTTTAATAGGAAATTCTAAAAAGTGTCCGAGCCATATAAAAAATTTTCGGAGTATTTCTGAACCGCAGGGGTTAGTATTAGGTGTCTCGTGTCACATTCAAACATTAAATATTGGGAAACATATTTGTCACCTGAAAATTCATAAATAGCTCTATGGGGTGTACAGAATAAGGGTCCCCAAAATTTGACCACGCGATCACATGAAATTTATAGAATAAATGTACGTATAACAACTTGTTACATGATTTTATTTGTAACAACGTCGAAAATCACGTGATAAATATTGTTTTATATCACGAAATTATTGATGATTTGTATCACGAAATCATTGGTAAATATTATGACACGAAAACAAAAAATAAAACTTGTTTAGCTTTCTTCTAAAACTTGTTTTTTTAGCTTTCTCTTTTTTTTTGACATTGTGAGATGGATATATATATCCGAGAAGAGCTCTCCAACAATGGCCACAATAATGTGACTCAACTTCTATCACAATCATATGGTTATTAAAAAATTTTCTCACGATATTTCATTATAGCTTGTACTATATTTTTTTGTGTCCTCTAAAAATCAATGTAATATTTTTTTTTAGAACGTTGTTACCATGGGTTTCCTCCACTGTCATAATTTTTTTATTTTATTTTATTCTTATTTGTATTTATTTTATTAGTATAGTTATTTAGTATATTTTAGTATATTTAATATATT